CCTTCATGGACCCAGATACATGGTGTTTCCCCTGCCAGGGGAAAAGACAAATGTACAATGGAAAAATGTCCCTTCTACCCATGTCACTTTGCAAAAAAGGGTTCGAGATTTCTGGGGTCAGAGAAAGAAGGAGCTCCAGTGATTAGAGTACTTAGCTGGAAGAGGGGAGGTCTGGGTCTAATACCTAAGGGCTGTATTGAACACTTGCTGGATAAAATACATACAGAACAAAGGCTGGAACCTAGGTCTCTGCTTCCCAAGTGAGTGCCCTAATCTCTGGGATGCAGAGTCAGGTCCCCTCTTTCTAGCCCAATGAATGCTGTATTCTTTTTTTGTAAGCTGGCATGGTGTCAACAAGAGGAGTGGAATGTGACCTTACCCTAAAGCATGGGTGTTAACATACCACCCACAGGCTTTGTAAGATAGGGGTTGAGCACTTTCAGTTCCTCCTGTTGACACCATGTTGGGTGGCAAAAAAGAGTGTAACATTTAATGGGCCAGAGAGAGGGAGCCAGCAGGAGCCTGACTGCAGTTTGGAGAACATATAAGCATTAGTATAATTTACATTACTTTTTATACTGATGTAATTTACATCGGGATACAAAGTGGACAGATGAACAGTTATCCCAGGATAGTTGCTGCAGTAGATGCTATTACAGTGCCCCACCATTTGGCAGTGCAGGAGCAGATAATAGCTTGTTTGCATTGAGCAAACAGTTATCTTCAAAGAACAACAGAAGCTCAATACCTAAAGTGCTGTAATAAACACCCTATGGCAGAGTTATTTACTCTGCTGCAATGCACATGTAGATGCTGACAGGGTTGGCTGGGGCACAAGGGTGCTTTACTGCTGGGACTGCCTGCCGGCTAGCCCTGCACTGATGCACCCTTGTGTGCTAGCCAGTCCCACTGCAGCACATTGAGTCATGTCAGAGCATCTCCAGGCTGGCAGGCTGACCCCCCATGCTCTCTGCCAGCCGGGGCTGCGTTGCCTTGGCTCAACATACTGTGGTTCTGAGCACCCATGCAGATGCTTCACTTGGAAGCAGTAAACTCCAGTCCAGTTTATTTAGCCACATTAACTGCACATGTAGATATGCCGAGCAAAGATGAAATATTCTGGTTATTTCTGAACATACACTTAGCTCTATTATATAGATTTAGTTTCTAGAACCTGTCTTTTGTACCAAAAGTAATACAAAGTGCTTTTAAAAATGACAAGTTAAATACAGATGGTGTGTGGAGTGTTTAGGGAAAACAGGCAGCCATCACTGGCATCAAAATGGTTTGTAAACTGAATCACTCTTTCCCTCTGACTAAAACATAAATTACAGAGCAATTTATACTTCTTTATGCCAGGGCCATATTTGATCCTAAGCTAAGTGCGTTTTCTTTCCTAATTCTTTCTTATTCATGTTAATGTCACACATAAAATGCAAATATATGAAATACAGTTTTTGGCATGTGTTTACAGTCCATATTCTTGTCTTAGTTAGAAGTTACTTCCAAGTTGCTCAAGTTGTACAATCTTCTCTCCTAACTATTCTGGCTTTTCCTTTCACAAAGTAGTGTTGGCCTCAGTAAGCTTTAATAAGATAACTGTCCATGGAAGCAATGTTTGCAAAACCAAACTTTAGGCATTAAATGCTCAGAATTCAAAAACAAGTCCAAGCTATATTAGTAGCAGAAGGTATTTTGTAGTTAGGGAGGAGTGAGAATGAATTTACAGATAACAGTACTGTAAGAAGTATAAAACTAAATTATACTGTAAGATTAACAGTAGCTGTGCTTTCAAATTTGGGAAGCAAACAGGTTGAAAACTGCAGCATTGAATCACTAATTGTATGACCTTATTTTATTTGCATTCTTTAGTGACTGCCATCTTCTGGAAGAATCAGATTGGAGGCACTCAAAAGCCTTTGGATTTGAAATGGTAAAAAAAATTACCAGCTTTTATTTACCTGTACTGTATACTACAGGATGCTGGCACTGGACATACACAGTCAAATTCTGTGCCATGCCTCCAGTGGGCAGGGACCAGCAGCAATTTAGGGGCAGAGGTTGCATGAAAAAACCTCTTTATCTCAATGCAACTAAATAGCTATATAGATAATGTGCCAGTAGATGTCACCCAAGAATATGCAATGTCTTCATGGCCTTTGCAAGTCTAATAAAACTTGTGCACTTCAGGTACCGCCTCTGTGTAATTCTACCTAGAACCCTTTACCTTTCCCACTTGATCCAAACTGCTGCTCTAGTCATGGGCATGGCTGAGTCTTTGTGGGCTTTTCTAATATTTTTATTCCAGAAAGGACCATAATGAAAAAAGGGCAATCATTGACACCACAAAATGTATTAATGTCTTCATTTTCTTTAAATAAAAAAAAGGTTCCAACAACAGGTGGGGAAAATGCTAACTTGGAAATGAGTTCAAAGTCTGGAGAGATACAAAAGGGTAAGTACCGGGACATCTTTGTTAGATCAGAAAATAGATCTTCTCTGCGTAAAACTGATACAATTACTGCTACAGTCACATAGTGATTGCATCCTGTTTTTCAGCTACTAATATGGTATATTTGACTCATCCAACACTGAACTAAAAAATCTGAATGTTATCATAGAACTATGTCATACTTGTGGTTGCTTTTATTAAAAAAAGATTCAGCAGTTATAGCATCCCACTGGTGATTAATCATCTGATTCATCTGTAATGTTTTTCACTGTGCCACTTCCACTCTCTTGGCTAGCATGGGATCACATAGTCACTCAAAAAAAATCTGAGAATAATGGCAATCATAAGGACTCCTTTTACCAAGCAGTTTAGAAATACCTGAACATTGCAGCACAATCTTATAAATGTCAGGCAGGTGATGGTGCCAAGTATGTCTTTCTTTTGCTTTATATTTCTTGTTCCTTTGGATGACAATTGGCTTGAAAATATTTTGTAAAGACTTGATTACATGAAGTAATCCCTGCATTGGAAATTTGATGAGCATTTCTTACTAGTCTGTTTACTGTCTTACAGCTAGATTGTGCCGTGAATAACAAGTGCATGGGATGGTGGGAGTTGCATATTCTTTGGTTCCACTGTAGCAGTAGGTTTCAGATGTATTTGCTGCACTTCCTAGAGCCAAGAACATACTTTCTCTATATACTTAATGTATCACAAGATATCCTGAATATTGTGGAAGGAAGCCCAACAACCTGTTCTATATCCCATCCATGGCAAACAGGAACTTTCTTGCACTCCATTAAAAGGTATAGCAGACAGCACAATTCCCGTGCATTGCAGGAAGTTCTGAAAGAGTCAGGACTCCCTTGGAGCTTAGCTTTTACAATGCAACTCTGCCCGGCTCCCGTCACAGGGTTGCATTTTAATAGCACAGAGGAGACTTTAAAACATGAGAATAATCCCATTGATTCTACCTTGATTCTTTAGTCTGAGGGAGGAGAACGAGCTCGTTGGTACAATGAACCATCTAGTCCTTAGCTCTTTAGATAGCTATTGAAAGTGGTCACCATTTTAAAAAGTTTTACTGGTGAGAGACGTGTTTTGGATTTTATTTTCAGATACTGAATCCCCCCTGAGCAGTCAGTCCCCCTGTTATTCTCCCAAGCTAACAGAGAGTTGTGTCAGCACTGGTTCTGAGATGGTAAGCAACACCTTCTTACCTGTATTATTTATTAATGTTTATATAATGTATGGATTTGACAGAACTCATCAACATGAAGCCTGGATGCCAAAGCACATGGAGAAGAGCTTGCTGCCTAATCTTGTTTTATTATTTGCATGTGTGAGAAGCAGAAAAAAAAGTGTCATTTTTAAGCTTTATAGGAATATTGGACCATAAGGAATTCTGGTACTATCAGCTTGGTGCTATGCCGTGCATTACATTATTTGCTGGTAAGTAAGCAGAATTTGGCCCCAGTGTTTTTAACTGTTCTTGAATAAAAAGGGGGCAGGTTTGGACTTTTCATGTTGTTTATCTGTTGTTCCATTATGGAGTTACTGGACTTATGGGCACCTGTAAGCATCACTAATCTGTTTTAACAGTCAGAAGAGGAGGAACCAGCTGAAAAGAAGAAATGTCTTTATGAGAACTCTTTTCACAGAAACAAAGCCAATCCAAGTGCTGCTTCAACAAGCAAAGGCCCAGAGTGCAGCTCTCACGCAGACAGCATGCCTTTCCTTCCAGGCAATAGTTTGGCTGTCAGAGCAGCCAGAATTCCTCAGCAGAAAGAGGCTATTTTACAAGCTACACAGGAGGACAATAAAGGGCCATTTGCTCTACCAGGGTACAGCTCATCACACATAGTACTTAAGAAGGAGGCTTTTAATCACAATGAGAGATATGATGCCTGGTCACAAACAGAGACTTTTACTGTAGGAGCAGAAAAAATCGATGCTGCCACACAATGTGCTCTGATACAGGCATGCAGCTGTAGAAACCATCTTTCCTCTGTCCACAGTGCTGAAATGATCACTGATGTCAACAAAGCAGATCCCGCTGGAGGGCAGGAAATCCCAGCAGATGAGGCACTTCCATCTTCAGGTACAGACAATGCAACAGTTACTACAGAATTTCCTCCTGAAATTGAGTATCTGACTTTGGCTGACAAGATGACTCTAGATGTTTTGAACTATTTTAATGTAATGAAAAAGAGGGAAAAGAGCAACTGAGAGAGATGTGTTAAGCATGTAGCGTGGATGCATCAAAGTGCCCTGTACTCTAGAAGTTCTGTTCCTTTCACAGTCTATTATTTCCTTTATTTGTTACATTTATTGTTAACTTGTGTGAGCAAGACTTATTCATTTTTTAAACAAATGATTACTGAAGATGCTCAATGTTTTACTACAGTTCATTGAAAATAATGTTTTTAACTAAAGAAAAAATCTACAATCCAAGTATAACAGTTGTATGAGACTGAGCCTGTTCTTATTGAATTCAGTGCAAAGGCTCCATTTGACATTGAAGGATACAGGATAGGTCCCTTAAATCAGAAAACAAATATTTTGTGTGCTGATGCACCCATTTTAGCACACTAACTAGCCTGAATAGCACACCTATGCTGAAACTGTAAAATGAGATACAAGAGGAATGCACATCTGTGCACACAGAACAAACTGCAATTAGTACTGCATATTCAAGTAAGAAGATTCTCTTGAGGCAGTTATGCTAGATTTATACATTCACTGTAAATGCAGACTCATCTCTTGTTTTGGTAGTTTGCCTGAAAATTAAAATGCTGAGTTCTCACCTTTTCTCATTCAGTTAAGTGTTTGTACAATCCAGAAATAAATCTTGTAATTCCTATCATGTTCTGCTTGTGTTATATACTTCGTCTTAAAACAGCTCTCAAGAAAGGTGCTTGTAGACTACTCTGGCGCTGAACTCCTCTAGTTGCCTAGATGGTCTAACTGGTAGTATGTAGTTAAGTTCAACTATGTACAGGAAAGATGACCTTCAAGCTGAGTCTCCATTTCTTTTCAAGCACTAGCTCCTGACTGCTTGCAGTAATCCCATTTGTTAAGAAATGGGTATGGTCAAAAGATATAGAAGGAGCTGTTCTTTCAACAATGCAGAGCAAATCCTTCAGTAAGACTGTTGTGCTGTGGTTTTTCCTTCCATGATGGGTGTTCAAAGATTCACTGCCCCAACACACCTGCTTAAGTCAGCTGCTTTTATGTCCATATTTTATGTTCATATGCTTCCATATCTAAAGGGATGGGTGCAGTTCCAGCATTGTTCAAATCATTTTCCATTACTTTCTCGCCAGTTCCATACTGTAGGTGGTGATTTCTGCAACATCTTATTTTATAGTTAAGAGGAATTTACATGGAACTCTGAAAAGGCATTGACAGCACTCAGCAATGTGTGAGTTAAGTTTGGGACATTTCTAAACCAGGGATCCATAGAAATTTCAGTTAATCTTTTGGCTGTTTGAAAAAATGTTCATTACATTGTGTCTTCAAGTCTCAGAGTGGGAAGAGGTTTGCAGAGCTAGGCTTCTGAAACATGCAGCTAGTAATTCAGCCAATGAGTAGGAGCTAGAAACAAGCAGATTTTCTTTATCCAGATTGCCTCTATTTAATCTCAAAACACATAGGTTCCCTAGTCATGTACTTTGCTGAAACTAAAATGATCATCTTCCTCACAGGAAGCATAATTATCTGAATCATATTTATGATTTCCTAAAAGCTGAGCATCTGAACACATAATCTGAAAGCTTGTCCCACAGTGAACTGTCTTTGACATTATGTAGCAAAAATAACGCACACTGAATGCATCCACACATCACCCTTTGGGGATGTACCAATGCACTACGTCGCCATATGGTGCACTACAGCGACATAGCAATCACGTGTATCTACACATGATTGCCAGCTATGTTGCCATAGCAGTGTGCTCCCTGGGTATAGCATGCCGCTATGGCAACAAAATCTAACCGTGCACTGTGCACATAGCACAGTAACCACCTGTACTGAGCTATGCTTTAGTACTTCCAAAAGGAAATACTAAAACACAGCACCATAGCACCGTTGCTGTACAGTGATGTGTAGATGTGCCTACTATCACAAAGAGGGGCCAGGATTGCCTTTAAGGTGAAGACTGCATTTAGCAGTGTTGTACTGGAGACATGACAAGTACACTGCACTTGCTGCCACACTAACAGTTTTTAACCTATGATGGCTTGTAAAACAGGTACTTAGGATGATTCCAAATCCAATAGTATTCCAGAAATATAATACACCTGTCTGCAATGTGTCTTTCACCTTTTGCAGTTGTCTGTCAGCATCATTCATCTCCTCATGGGCAGGTGGTAACCCATATATGTTCTTTGGCTTTGCTCCAAGTCATTTAAGCTGTTACATCTATTCCATGGTACACATCGGGGTGTAGGTTGTAGCCGTGTTGGTCTCAGGGCATAGGCAGACAAGGTTCTATGGGTGAACCTGATATCTTTTATTAGACCAACTTAAATAGTTGGAAAACCTCCAGAAATGTAATATATCTCATGTAATGCACCAAATGCCCTGATGGAAAATATGTGGGAGACCATACAACAACTGCTCACCAGAACGAATGCTCACAGGAAATCTATCAAAGATAGGAATACCCAATTACCTGTGGCAGCACATTTCTCACAAGAAAACCACTTTTTCTCCAATCTCTCAGTCCTAATCCTCAAAGGAAACTTACAAAACACTTCTCAAAGACGAGCCTATGAACTTCACTTCATCTGCCTCCTGGATACAAAACATCATGGACTAAATACAGACATTGGATTTATGCCACATTATAACCTGCCTAACATCTGACTTCCCAGGTACCTCTTCACTATCTAACTGCTACATTCATCCCCCTTCCCCCCACCCCCTCCTGCCTGTCTCTCACCCACTGACTCCTCAATTTACATCTTCACTGACTGCCTGTCTTGTATGCATACCAGCCCAGCCTCTGGCTGCTTTACTTTTCATTCCACCCAGGAAGAGCACACACCAACTGATGAAGGCTTTTTAAACCTGAAAGCTTGCTATAAAAAAATTTTCTACCTATTCAAGTTGGTCTAATAAAAGATATCATATTCACCCAAAGACCCTTGTCTGCCTATTGTACACATCAGCCACCTGTAAATGATGTTCTATGGCCAAGTGTTTATGCATGAAAAATGTTACATTTGGGTGGCTGATTTAACTGGCAGGTGTAAAAATACCATTTGTTGCAGCAAGTATGTAGTGACTACACTTGAACAGATGCAGAAAAGAATAAATTTTGCTTACTTAAACTGGCATTTATGTGTAATCAAAAAATCAGGATGACAGCTACCTACTCATGCCATTGTGTCAAGGCTTTTAGGTGTTGTTTTGGTTTAATTTCTCTAAGAGAGGGACACCCACTTTAAGCCACCCACATGATCCAGAGAACCAACTTTTCCACAAGAAAGTGCTTTGCTTTGGTTTGGCGCAGCATCAACCCACAAAGGCAAATGCTGAAGGCATGCAATGAAACTTTGCCAGCATTAGAGACCTGCACATGGTAGCACTAGAAAGGGGCAACACCTGTTTATAAAAATACATGTGATGCAGATATAAGAACTCTGAGATTCTCACAGGTAAGTAATTCATGCACCATGTAAATAAATGGAGCCAGATCCTTGACCCTGATGCTGGCAATGTAAAGGGGCCACAAAGCTGTCTTACCTTCCTTTTTGGGGGGTTTCAGTGTAAGGGCAGTCACTGGCTTGTGTAGGACAGAAGCCAGTTGCAATGGAGGTCTGAGGGTATGTATATATTGCTTCCTGGTGCTCCAGGGAGAACCACTCTGGAGAACATCCCACCCACCCACTTCTCTTTGCAAGTGCTGAACCTGGAAATGAGGCAGTGAAGCTACCATGGGGCCACAAATCTTAAGCACTGCTCTGAGCAGCAAAGGGCCTACCTCCCACCTCAGCCCCAGAAATAGGATCCAGAAATAGATGGAGCAGCAGGTAAGCCCCCTAGGGAGCCTGTTTTAGTAGGCCTGCTCTGAGCACGCCTACTGCACTTCAGCAGCACCGGAGGGTCCCTCCTCCAGGATTATTTCTGCTTTTTCTCAAGTGCCTGTTTAATTAAATGAATCTTTAATAGCAGGGGTCAAAGCCCTCCCACATCCTTCCTTAATGGTTGGGCCATTCTCCTGTGTATGGGAGAGATGAATCTGAATCCTTTCTAGGAGAGGAGGACCTAGAACCCAGGACTCTCTGACTGGGCAAGCACTCTCATGACAAGACTGTTATATAACACGGGGGGGGGGGGG